TGATCAATGATGATGATTTGATGTCAATCAATGTCGTGCGCTTGCTTCTCTTTACGGTTTACGTGTTCAAACGATGCATGATCTGAAAACAGTAGCTTTGTTTTCCGCTTTGTTCTTGTAGTGCTGGGCAAGCACCTGAAAGACAATTTTTTTTTGTGTTTAGTAAGTAAAATAAAAGAAAACCTAGACTAAATCTATCCATAAAATCTAATGGTGAATTTAATGTTTCCCGGCAACGACACCAAATTTGATATCACTCAAATTATCTTATGAGAAACTTTACATTTTGAAATAAGAGGATCAGTTGTAGTACTTAGGGATGAAATCCACATGGAGCGTAGGCACACGATAGATTTATAAATATAAAGATTAAGCTAGGAAAACAGATACTAAAGTAGTAAACAAGTAAAGCAGTTTGATTGGTTGGAAGCAATATGAGAAATTAGCTGGACGTAGGGTTTCAGGTTACATTATTGTTATATAGATGATAGTGAATTGAGGTAAACCATCCTAGAACTCGATGTCTAATGTAAAATATATCCAGCTCACGCTGTGAGTTTAATCTATTGACTAAGTCTTGTGTTTCAGCTGTCGCTTATTAACATGGGTTGAGTGTCGATTGATGTTAGCGGGTGTGCATCGATCGCCGCTGCCTTAGGCAAGCGTTACCAAACAGATCGATTGGTTCACTAGTCTTACTAATCAGCTGTGGTTTGTTTCTATAAATCCTAGCTCAGAAAAAATATTATCAAGTATAGATCATACTGTTGTAGTTGTTTATATCCTAGGTTCTGGGTTCTAGTTAGCTACTCTAGAACATAAGCAATAAGATCAATTCTGATGACGGATCCTTATGGATTCACCCTATAAATTATATGTTTAGCAATACATATAAACCCTAATGAAAAACCTAGCTCTAACAAAGTAGACTACTCAGACATGATCAAGCAAAGCATAATACAAATCTGAATAGAAAACATAAAATAGAATAAGGATTGAGAAACAAGGGAGTCCGGATACATATCTATGAAGGAGTCTTGATCTTCTCTCTAAAACTAACTAAAGTTTATGAGTATGGAATAGATTATGAAAGGTGGTGGTGTGTTGCCCAAAATGTCAATCGATGGCAACAATGTGTTGTCAACATACACTCTTCCTATATATTGACTCTAACTTCTGATTTTTCGACAGCTATGACTGTCTACATCAAAGCCCCAAAATACTACATAATCTTCGCATTGTTCCAAAACATACCTGAATCTGAAAAGTCTCTAAATAAAAGTCCAAATATACATAATAGATCGTAAAACTACATATAATATGGGTGAAAATGAGTAAAATGCATAGTATACCATATAGATTGACTCGACACTTAATAAATAAAAATAACAGTTTCAACTAATATTTTAAATATTAACCAAGTAGTAAAATTAAGTTCTTTCGTATAATTTATATATATATATATATATATATATATATGAATGTTGTTTCCAAGACTATAATTGTTATATACATTTATATAACACTTAATCAATCAACAATTTTTTTTATTTTACTATTTGATTCTCAAAACAACCTATATTAAATTATTCATAATCTTACTAAAATATATTTACAAATATAAGACAAGAATCAAAATAAATTCAAACAAAAAATTAATCAAATTTTAATCTATAAAATAAAAATAGTGTTGGTAAATCCAAAAAGTGTATATTATCCACTACATCCAAATAATAATTAAGTAGATAAGATATTATATATTCAAAATCATACATCTAATTAAAATAACATGATATGCACTGGAAATCATGGGACAAATTATGTATAGCTAAAGAGGAAGGAGGTTTGGGTTTTAAAGACTTCACTGGTTTCAACACGGCTATGTTGGGGAAGCAGTTATTTGTGCTTGATCGAGAAGCCAAATACTTTATTCTCTCGAGTGTTCAAAGGGCGGTATTTCAGGAATGCCTCACACCTGGAACCGATACAATCATACTCTCCGTCATGTGGCTGGAAGAGTATGGTTTTTGCTAGATCTCTGGTTAGCAAAAGACTAATTAAAAGGGTGGAATGATGATCGTCTATATATGTACAGAACAATCCATGGCTCCCAACCACTCTCCTGAGACCAGAAAATTAAAACCAACACAACATCTTCACGGACCTTACAGTAGATTCTCTCATCAATTCTGATTCGTGAAATTGGAACTCGCAGGCAATTCGGGCTTTGGTAGATCTCCAGGATGTACAAATCATAGAAAGTATACCACTGAACAGGACTCGGCTGACGGACAAGGATAGATGACACTTCACTAATAATGGGAAATACAAAGTCAAATCAGGCTACCAAGTAGAACGGGTTTAACAAGATAAGGAAAAACCATCAGTTTTTGTACCCACAGTTGATATACTGAAAGCCTTCTGCTAGAAGGTAAGATGTCCACCAAAGATAAAAAAATTTATTATGGCAATTGGTATCAGGGTGTATAGCTGTTAAAAAAAATATGAAAGCGAGAGGGATACAAGGGGATACATGTTGTGCTAGATGCGGAGATGAAGAGGAATCAATAAACAATGTGTTTTTTGAATGTCTTCCAGCGCGCCAGGTCTGGGCATTATAAAAGATACCAACAATTCCATATATTTTCTCCACTAGTTCTCTGTTCACAAATTTGGATCATCTTTTTTGGAGTATCCTCCCATAGATGGTTGATCATCATTTTGCTTGGATACTTTGGTATATTTGGAAGGGAATGAATAACAAAACCTTTAGTAATTTGGATATGGATCCAAGGGACACGCTGAAATTATCATAAAGAGAGTCAACTTTCTGGACAGAGGCTCAAGTACTGAATATACAGAGGGAAGCACAACCGATGGAGGTTATTGACCTACCATCAGTTCCAGGGGAATTGTGCTTTACAGATGGGTCATGGAAAAAGAAAAAAAAAATTTCGGACAAGGGTGGTACAATACTCTTGAGGGGTTTACTGGACTGATGGGAGCAAGAAACTTTAGGGCTGGTCTATCACCTCTTTACTCAGAGGTGTAACCGCTAATATGGGCAATGGAGTGTATGAGAAACTTGCGTCAGTTCTAGGTTACATTTGGAACGGATTGTTCTTAGTTAGTGAAGATGGTTTTGGAACCAAAAGAATGACCAGTTTTGCAAATTATTTGAAATATATTAAGATTCTGAAGCAAAATTTTCTCAACTCTGAGTTTATCCATGTACCACGAATGCAGAATTCACATGCGAATAGCTTAGCACGCAGTGCCAGGAAACAACCGTCTTTCGTCATTTACATGGATGCAGAGGTACCGGTTTGGTTTGCAGAGTCAGTATGAGTCTTTTTATGTTGATGACAAAATAAAATAAAATAACATGATTTTATTAAAATATAAACCATAACTATTCATTACAATATAATTAAAAATAAAGCAAAATATTATTAAATATTATAATGTAATTACTTTGTTAAAATTTATATTTGTGCAAGAGCACATGAAAACCACCTAATATTCTAATAATATAATTTTTATATATATATTTTAGAAAAACTATTAAATTCACAGAACCCATTAAAGTATATATCATGATATAGTGATTATCTTTCAATTTTGAAAAATACAAAAGTCTTGATTCAACTTTATGCAAGCTATTTAATCCTTCAATAATTACGATACTGATTAATCCCTTATATATTAAAGGAGAAACATTGTCATTTAATGTGTCCACATTACATTTATCCACTTCGATTTGATTCATAGCCATTCAGTTATACGCTATCGCAAAAAATTATATTTTAACTGATTTCGATCTGTAAAAATAAATAAAAAATTACAATGAATAATAATCTAATTTTTTTTTACAAATACTTATTTAATTTTTAAATAATAATACCTAATTTAATATTAGTAAATAAAAATATTGTAAAATGAATATAAAATAATTTTTTATATAAACTATATATATACTTCATTAAATATAAATATACATATATAAGCATATAATGAATTGGATCAAATATTCATTTTTAAAACATTATTATTTATGATTTTCTTCATTTTTTACGGATATTGTATATTAGTATTTTGTTTTTCTTTGTAGAGTTACAGATATCCAGATTTTTGTTCGAATCGAAAAGGATGACTAATCAAATCAAAATTTACCGATATTTTTCCAAGCCCAACATATATATGCACATTGACATGAGTATCTATGTAACTAAATATTCACTACAAGTGAGGATTCTAATTCTCGTGGAAGCTGAAATATTCTTTTTGAAGTTTCGATTTACCATCGACCAATTTGTAATGAAATGAATTGTCTTAATAATTTTTTTTTTTAATTTTTTATATTATTATCCAGATTTTATTTGATTTTTCATGCATTTAGAAATTATAATATAAAATCATTGGTTTGACATCATGACTGTTTAAAATTCATTTAATACGAACTAAACAAATAATAACAGATTTTGGTTATCATTAACAATCTAAAAACCTCAGGCACTTTAATTTTTAACTTAATAAAGAAAAGAAATATTGATTAAGAATAGTAATTATATTTTAATAGATTAAAAATATTAAAAATAATCTTAAACTGAACCGATATCCAGATTTAACAGACATAATATCTTCTTATCTAAGAAATAATGAATTAATAATATTATTCCACGCAAAGCCAAGATTATTACCTAGTATCTATGTACAAACATAGTAGTTCACTGATTATATTTGATTTTTAGTTCTTTTCCCAATTTTATTTTTGTTTTTAAGATATCAAATNAAAACCAAAAAGTAAAGAAAGTAATCTCTCTATATAAAATTTGAGTTTAGTGAGAGGTGGTGAGATACAAGATTATGTTCATTCCAAAGAAGGTGTGTGAATATGTTCTCCATTCTCTTTTTTTACACGTGTATAAGATTACTACATGTTCTATCATATCTTATTAATTTTCTCCATTCTCTTTTTTACACAGGGAGGAGGAAAAAAGATGGTGTTGTCTCGGAGTCTCACTCAGGTGCCCTCGAGTGACGGCGAAGAGAACTTTGTACTGGAGACGAGATCTCAGGAACGAAACTCAAGGAGACTTGAGGAAAAAATGGAGGGAAAGAGGAGGAAGCGTAAGATGGTGTAGCAAGAGTCTGATGATGACGAGGAAGAGAAGGAGAGAAATGAAGAGGATGAGGAGAGAAATGAAGCAGGAGAGAAGAGCCATGGCGTGAAACCGGTTGGTGAGCCGGTTAAAGTTACGGGTAAAGGCAAAGAGAGAATAATCCATTACAGGCAGTTCGAGTATGGCGTAACAGATACCATCTGGTGAGTTGTTTTGACTAGATTGATGCATTATTATGGGTTACAAGTGCACCTTGTTCAATTACTTGTTGGTTATTACATCGTTGAATCTACGGTTTTGAAGGGACTTTGATTTCTGTGTAAGAATATATTAGCCATAGCTGCTCTTTTTATTTGGTCAGGAGACTTTAAGTTTTTTCGTATTACATCATCCTTTCCCTTAATTCTTAGAGTCCATTTGCCTCTCTGACATTCCTTTAATTTCNTTTGAAGGGACTTTGATTTCTGTGTAAGAATATATTAGCCATAGCTGCTCTTTTTATTTGGTCAGGAGACTTTAAGTTTTTTCGTATTACATCATCCTTTCCCTTAATTCTTAGAGTCCATTTGCCTCTCTGACATTCCTTTAATTTCTTGCACAGGAGGATTCAGTGCTCTTGAATCCACAACCTGATAGTGAAAAGCATTATGTTGCCTTTACCAAATGATACACGAGAAGTGTTCTACAGTTTCCATTGTGATGAGGCCCATGCAGAATCTGTGATGCATAGATGTGTGGTGTATTTCGTTCCAGCTCATAAGCAACTTCCGAAACGCAAACAGAACCCTGGTTTCATCGTGCGAAAGGTGTATGATACTGATGAGCAGAAGCTGAGTAAGTTGACTGATAAGGATTATGAAGTTGAAATACAACATGAAATTGACCTCCTTGTGGAAAAATCAATGTCGCGATTGGGTGATCTTCCTGACCTTGAAACTAAGGAAAATGTAGAGAAGACTAAAAGATCTTCCCAGAAAGTAATCTCTCTAAAATCCATAACCAGATCACATGAATCTGAGAAGAAAGCAACAGAAGAATCGTTGAAGACAACCAATGATTTTAATGCTGACAACAATCCTGAAGGCACCAAGTAAAGAAAATATGTTTAGGGTTTAAAATCTTCTACCTTATGTTTAGGGTGTGGTTATAAAATTGAACTTGGTTAAACATTGATTACATTGTAGTTTTTTAAGTTAAAGCCTTTTTATGAGTTTCAGTCGGTTTTGATTTCATTACCAGAATTTCGAATATCTATATTATTTTTTATTTATTATCATTATCTTAAAGCTAAAACCTTATAATTTTTTTTATCTTGGTTTATTCGATTGTACCTTTTGACGGATTCGAGATTTGGTATTTGTGTTCCATTATCTAATCTCTCAATGTGGAAATTACACAGACAAAGTTATTCTTTGCTCTTGTACTTTTCAGTGATAGTTTTACCTTGTAGTGAGGAAATCTAAAGCACAGTTTCTTTGATCTGCCTACAATTTATTGGTTCATGTTTGGTGTTTTGAATATAATTTACACGTAACTTTAAAATATTATTATTATAAAATTTATTTATTATATTGTTATTTTTATAATGTACACAAATTTTGTTATGATAAAATATGGCAAATGATCTTTCGTATTCTTCAACTTTTATTTATATATATATATATGTATATATATATATATATTCATATTAAATAAACTAAATATTAAAATTATGTAAGAAACGTGCGACAAAAAGTTACAATGAAAATGTGTCGTCATGAACTAACAAGCAATTTATGAAAAAAACTGATGAAACGAAAATATTTCATCGTTAAATCGATGTTAAGTTATGATGATTTAACGACACCTGAAACTAATCGTACTAAACTTGATGTTAACTAATGAGTAATTTATGACAAACTATTTTAATGAGTATAAGTTAGAAAAGATTGGGTTTGTTATGTATGATTGGGAATTATACTAAACATAATTCGTTATAAATGAAATGTTATGTTCATGTAAAATTCCTGCAAAACACTTTTGGTTGATAAGTTCTTACATACCAAGCACAAAAAAAATCAATATACATGTCATTTTCTGAAAAACGAAACACAAACAAAATTAAAAAAAAACCAACAAAATTTGAAGTAAGAAAACAAAAGAAGGAATATGAGGGTAATATCTATGAAAAATAAAGTTGGATGTATATGTACAAAGATTCTAACGAAAGGATGACAAGGGGAATCTCTCAAAGGTCTAGAGATGTTCATATACTGGGCTAGTAGTGTACCGATCACGTTAGAAACTGGCAAGAGGTTATGTATTTGTCGGAAGTGCAAGAATACAATTTTTTTCATAATGATATTGTATTAAACCATTTATTAAATAGAAGATTTATGCCACAATATTATATTTGGTTTCAACATGTCGAGAATTATGGTAGGAATGAAGCTAGTAGTTATAGTAATTTTGAGGTTGTTGGTAAACTTGAAGAACATGTCATTTAAATCCAAGTGTACTCTTAAAGACCTTATGGTTCTTGGTAGAAAGTACATGCTTCATAAATTTAATCGTGCATTTCATTTGAATATAAATTACACAAAGCAACCTTGATGATTTAAAAAAAAACATATAAGAGATGAATGTTTATTAAGACTTATACTGGTATAATGGTGAATCCCGAGATTTTGATGATTTAAGTATATATTTGAGTTTATTTTTCGTGATTAAAGTTTTGGGTTTAATATTTAAGGGTAAGGTTTAATATTTAGGGGTTGTGGATGGAGTTACCAACTTTTAGTTTAAGTATATTCTGTAACTAGATTCTGACCTTCTCTTTCAAAAGGGTGGGTATATTTTTGTTTTAAGTTCTTTTGAAAATTTTAATTTATATTTGTGTTATTTTTTGTAATCATATTTCTGTTTAATATTAATTTAATTTAATTTAATTTTAGTAACTATATTAAATACATTAAGTTGCATCACTATACACTTGTTTCATATATATTTCAAAAATTATTTTTAAACTTTATTCTTAAAATTTAAAACATATTATATTTTCTTAGTAGTTACCTAACATAAATAGTGAACAATACCTGTACTCAAAAAACCCGACTCAAATAAAACTGAAAATCAAAGTCACATATTCGATTAGACCTGGTCTATATACTCGAACATTTATAAAAATACTATATCCGAAACCAATATCAAATCCAACCCAAAACGAAAAATGAACAAAAATTTTGAAATTCTTTTTTAATATACTGTGTTAAATATATATATATACATGTAAATGGGTTAATATGGTCTTCACTAACTTTAAGTAAAATCACATTTAATAACTATTTTTAATTGAATCCTACTTAAAATCTGTAAAACTAAATGAGTTTATATGAATATTTATTTCTATTAGAAGTCCACTTAAACCATGTTAAACCCTATTTGAACATCATGTGCTTTGTTAATTGATAAATTTAATGTCTATATAAAATATTTAAAATTTGAATAAATTACTGTCTGATTGAATAAATCCCAATTTTTGGGTTGAGATATAAGTTATGTTGATGTAGTGTGATAATGATTTTTGGAAAAACTGTTGTTCAGTTGTATTGTTGCTGAAAATATATGTTAAAATATGATTGCAAACCTTAAGTTGAAATGCTTTTATATCAATGTAAACTTATTTGAATCATACAAGGACGGATTTAGAGAGAGTAATATAAAAACCAGCTTCAAAAATGTTGATATAAACTATATATACCATTATCATTATGCTCCAGTGAAAACTGTTAAAAAGCAAAAAGCAGTTTTAGTATAACGAATGTTGATTTTAGAAGTAACTAGTATTATGCCCGTCCTACGGGCGGGTTAGCATATGAAAAAATCACATCAATTTTAATGGTATTTCAAAAAATTTAGTTTACTTTAATTTAAATTGATCTTGTGCTTAGTCCACATCCAAAATCAAAATTTACTCTAATCTCTCATGATTTCAAACCATCTTCTCATCAGTCCTTCCAATCTGTGTGGTGACCGGTACCAAAGCGAAATAATTCTGATTTGAATAGCTTTGCCAATGAGCCGAATGAGTTGTGCTACACTCTGAGTACCACTGTGATGCCAACGGGAATTGCACTCCCTGCAGATATGATAGACAATGGTCTGAAAATCAAGGCGTCAAAGAGTACTGTCCATGTGACAGCGCTCTCCATCCTGAATAAACGTAATAGTATCCTGCCAATTTGGATTGATGCCTAGTCCAAATCGCATTGTAGCCACTTCAACCCATTATACTAAGTACGAGTAAGGGCAAGCAAAAAAAATAGAATGTCTCTGATCTCATCCCTCTCTACACAAAAGACACAATCTTTCCTAATACCCCACACTCTCATTCTGTATCCAGTTGATAACCTGGTTTGAACAGCTAACATATTTCCATGTCTTACCCAAGACCTGATCGTGTATCTCAAAATATCCAAAATATTTTTAGTATATTAGGTATATTTGAGTATTTTTAAATATAGTTGTGATATTACGGATGATTTTAATTATCAGGTTTTTGTTCCCGATTATAGTTTCGGGTTACAGGTACAATTTCAAAGTTTAAAGTATATTTTAAGTATTCATATAAAATTTTTGGTACTTTCAGTTCCTCGGATAAGATTTCAGGTAAAATTTTAGATATTTGAATATTTTTGGGTATTTTTTGAGTTATTGGGTATGTTTTTGTGTTCTGTATTTTTCGAGTATTTTTTTGGGTTTTGGGTTTCAATTCTTTTTCGGGTATTAAATATCTGAACCGTTATCTACCAAATATTACAGGTATTTTTCAGGTATATTAAATATGGATTTGTACCCGAAAGAAACCAACCCGAACCAAAACTGCAAATTTACAGATACCTAATTAGGTCTAAATACATAAATCAAAATATTGACACGAACCATGTAAATCATCAACAAACCAATAAAATGAAAAATAATAGAAAAAAATTGTAGAATTGAAATATCATTTTAGAAAAATATTCATAAGACAACTCAAATATGGAATAGTCTTGCATGAGCTTTTGTTGTGAAGTTTCCTTTGAACTTCATTCTCCCCACAAACACAAATAGTCTCAACCATCTTTCCATATATGTTTAAAAGATAAAAAAAAAAGTCTCAAAAGAGTTAAAATACTTATGTTTTAGAGATACTCAGTTCCAAACAGAAGATGACTGCGAGATTAGAAAGTGAAAGTCATATAATCTTTTCACATTGACAAGCTACACTTATACATAGATGAATATGAGAACAACAAGGAAATACAAATCAATTTATGTACCAAACTTTTAAATCATCTCGAAAATCAAATTAAAACAACGTGATCAACCCCAAAATCATAAGAATCCCGATCTAGTATCAACATAAAACTCTGAACAGGAACACATAATCAATTTAACAACAACATGAAACTGTAAACGGAAAATTAAACATCAATTTTGAAAAACTGGGAATCCCAAATTCAATTGGATACAAAGTACCTGAAAAAAACAAGACGTGAATAGAAAATGAAGGACGACGAGATGACGACAGAGTCTTTCAAATAGAACAGTGACTGCACGGCGGAAACAATGTCGGAGACGACAACAGAGACAATTGAAG